TCACGAATCGCAAGATTGCTATGGTTTGCAGAAGCGATTGCTGTCAGCCGATGGAAGCCCACCTTGTGTCAACAAAGAGAACTTTATGTTCGCTTATCTTTACCCTGTTCACATAGTCCTTTTAACTCTTCGATGCCATGCCAGATCCCTATATAAATGTTTTGTTTTCTGCAGTATGGACCATTTTGAGATGTAGCGAAATCGATCTGGGCGTCAATCGTGCAGACATACGTGGTTATTCAATTTTGCAAGTGATTGCCAATTAATCACTTATTGATATGGGAAAGAATACAATTTCCCCTGTGAAAGTGTTCTAAAGATTGCATCTAGATAGGAAAAATCCTATTCTATTTGAAAGTACGTGGTTGATGCGAATACATAATATGACTTCTTTCGATAGAATAACCACTGCCTAGGTGATCTTGTTCCTGCGTCTTGTTGAGGACAGTACTTTGACGGACGAATACCAGTGTGATTCCGGATTCGTGACTTGTTCTCCACTCTGACTAGGGCATTTAGTTCACTGATTCCATGTGTCCTACTTTCAACCACTCAATTTATAATGGGGGACACTCATGCCGTTCCAGGCTCATCATTTATACGATTTCTCAGCTTCCACTTTGTCACCGAGTGAATGAAAGCCGGCCGAGATCTGGAAGTACCACATCTTACCAGATATCATGTGAAATTCAATCCCGGGTGAAGACTGCGGTGTTGATCGTAATATTTTGATGGATCATCTTGCGCTTTGAAGAATAAATCTTTGTAGCAGTCGTTAATGTGAGGCAAACGGCCAATGGTCGGAGTGGATGGAGGGTTTTTCACCTGCGAGATGCATTAGGGAGGAACAGAAAAAACAGCATTTTCGGTTTTTTTGGCTATGAAACACCCCCGAGTAACTTGACGACTTTATGGCACCCAAGGGCGAATATTCAGCCACTGTCACAGGACGTGAAAACAGGATAAATAGAGTAAAAGTTTACGGCAAATTGTAACAGCCAAAATAATGTGAGTGCTCCATACCACTAGGGTATACTAATTATGCAAGTTGGGATAATGAAATCTGTTGAGTTGCAGCACCAATGAATAATTGTATCCTCTGATGATGAACTTCACTGCTCGCTGTTAAGATCATACTGCATACAAGATAAGTGATAATGTGTAAGGAGGACAGGTATTGGACCCATTCTTAGGGACGGGAAAAGAAAGCAAACCTCTATGGTCAACACACAGAGAGTACACAGTCCAACTGTGCATACATACTATTTCAAGCATTTTGGACTGATAAGAAGTGACAGCAAGATCGCCATTGCTGTCGGTTCGTAGCCATGACCTTCAGTGTCTCCAACCATGCGGTTTCGGAGTCTTTTGAATCCCATCCCGGAAGNGGAAGACGAGAAACACCTACTCTACCTAATCACTGTGTACATTTCCTCATGCCTCATCTCCACGTCATCTGCTGGCCTCCACGTGGCTTTCTCCAGCCTGTAACAGCCACTACAAATAAGGCGCGCTGCGGTGGGCTACCGTCGGATATACGCAGGACGTGTCCTACCCAACCCTATTGAGTTGGATTCGATGCGATAGCGAGTTCTTGTTCGACGCATTGCCAAACACCCGCCGACCTACTTCTATGTTACTAACCCGCTCACTCTATCCAGCCTGGGCCGGGCTACTTGAGTATCGATTGTCGAGCACTGCTAAGCGAATTCAAGGTCTCACAACCGTAAAGTAGAACTGATCGTACAGTGGCGCAGTATACGCGACTTTTCAACTTTGTTGACACGTCACGTCGCCGCCACAGGTGTTTTAGTCCTGCGTACGCTGTTCGAGCCTTGGAAATGCGGGCGGTGATCTCCTTCGATGCACTACCGTCGTTGGTCACGCAGCTACCTAAGCACGAGAAACGGTCAACTTCAGCTAATTCCTGACCGGCTAGTTTCAGAACACAACTCGGCGATAGTCAGTCTTGTAGCATCACTTTGCACTTTGAAGGTGAAAAGCACATGCTGAACGGAGCGACAGAACTTGCTAATTTGTCAAGTACTCTTTATTCATCCTCCATAAATTTAAACAAGCAAACGATGTCTCCAGCGTACTCCAAATCGCACAGCTTTTCTCCAGCTGCCCATTTAATACCTACATTTTTGAGACAAATTAGTGTGATCTCCAGTATTTTGTCTATGACGAAACTGAACAGGAGTGGCGAACGAGGGTACCCTTGACGAACACTGCTGCTAGTCACGAACGACCTACTCAGCTCGCCATAGACCCTTACGCTGTCAGAAGTACGCGAGTAGAGTGAACTCAGTATGTTCACTTACTTCTGCGGGATGAAATTGCTTGGAGACGATTAACGCTGAATCTAGAGATCAGTCTGAAAGTGTTGAAAAACCAACCAGGAAGGATACCAGGAGAAGCGCTAGTGAATGAGTTAATATGCATGTACAAACAAACTTCTTCCCGAATTAAACAGTACGAATAAAGACACTGTCCTTAATGCATTCGAAATCTGATATAACCACGTGGAATTCTATAGTTTGAATTCATACCAATATACTTTCATCAAGCGGAGACACAGGTGTGCATCAAGTATAAGACTGATTGTATAGAGTTTCGTTCAAATTAAAACGGAACCCGCCTAAATTTAAAATTATTCGATGAAAGTTGATGCAAAGATGACCAGTGGGTTATCTGGGACATAGTGGTTTGCATAGCAGAAAAACATGAAGTCCACATATCAGTTTGTTATTGGCGTATTTTATCTCGGACAAATCGGTGACACATACATTCGGGATATATATATATATATATATTTATATTAAGCATCAAAGAGTGAATAGTATGGCATCTTGAGGAACACTATCAGACGTTTCCACAACCGTGGGTAAATTGTTGTTAATATGTGAAACATTCAGTTAGGAGGCGAATAATGTCAAACGGGTCACCTAGCGAGTCAGACAAAATTCACCTCTGTAGCCCAGAAAACAAAGTTTGACACATATTTACACCTTTGCAAAGTGCAGACAAAACTTAGTGTACCAGTGATGGGAGGGGGCGATTTCGCACAACAATAGGTGAACTGGTAAGGGCTATTTACTGTCCAGTGCATAAACAACTTGCGCTGAATTAGCTATTCGAATAGCTAAAACAGGTGTGTATTATGGTGGACGTCATATAATCAATTCTGTGGTTAGCCTGACATTGCAGTGAAATGGAGGAGTATCTGCAATTAAATTAGTCAGTACAAGTTCCCCTGAAGAAAGGTGGGTAGTCTCGGGATAACTAGACACAACTGAAAAAGGGCTGAATACCGATTTTTATACTACTTATTAGCATCTACTATTGTTTACCCTGCTATGTCACAGTTCCTTGAATTTACCCACTTTTTCGAATTCTCGAAGGGTGCAACATAGCCGGAGATTGACTATATTTTCAGTGCACAAACAACGGGACGAAACTTTGGGCCATCTTGCTCAGGAACACTGACGTTACAAGCCTCCCACTCACCGGTAGTTAGGACTCTGTCTTAGGCCAAGCATTGCCTGATTATATCTGAGAGCACGGACGCCGGTCTCGCTGCTGATTCCCTTGATTGCACAGGTTGAAGGTTATCTGGTCAGCTTACTTTCTTGGATTTCAGTGAGCGCAGTTGATAGAATACGTCTCGGTGAAAACTCAGGACCGCCGGGGATGGATGTTCACTCATATAGGTTTGCTATTTATGATAGAGTCACAATTATGCGGCTTGCTTTTGGCTTTTCTTTTCGATAAATAGGGATAAATAGGCGAATAGATGATTTGATTCAATTATGTTGTGAGTTTTGCTATGTATAGAGTAAATGAAGATTGAACTGAAAGGCTAGGAAGTACTGCAGTGGAAATATTTCCAATCGAGTAGAAATCCCGGAGGATAGTGGTGAGATGATCGAGAAGTGATGTCCGCAACATGCTCGAAAAGATGGGTTTTATTATACCTTGCAAAGGCAAACTAAATACAGTCTGATCAGCTGCTGGGTGGCCGAGTGAGTAGTATGCTTGCCTTCTATGCGGGAGGTCCCGGGTTCGGTCCCCAGTTGAGTCGATGGATTCATACTTCTATTTTTCGGTGAGCGTTGTGATCACCTCAACCAGTCTTTGGTTTGTATGCTCGCGCTTTGACGCTTATAACGTAGTTGTTTAAGGAGGTGAGAGGCTTTGAGATCCGCGCGAAAGTATGAAACTTCTTGGTAACAGTCAAGTTTTAAATAGTCATTCAGACTGGAATTCAATGTCCATATATCCGAGCTAGTAAAAATGGAAAATCTGTCTCGTGGACCATCTCCTTGGCTCTCAGAAGATTATTCGGATACCATAGTGGTCTGAAAGCAGAGTTCGAATGAAATACCGGTGATTGGGATTGCTGCCAGAGATGCTTTGGATCTCTAGATGACGGCGAGATCAGCCAGTCCAATGGGCGACTGACTGGGAGAGGGGCACTGTGAGGACTTTGGGATTGTTACCGAAAGGTTTGAGTGACTTGACTTTATACCTGATAGGGAAGTCAGCTGAGTTTGTGAATCCCATCACGGTGGAGAACATGGTTTCGATATCAACCGTTACGCTCAGGGGGCGAGACAGGTACCAGTATCTTGAATTGCGGAACAAGTAAAAGTTTCACCAAACTCTAAAGGTTCTTCTCATGAATATATTGGGGAGATAACCTTTAGTACCAATTCAATAAACTTACATCGACTAAAGAATCTTATATGGAGGCGTGGCGTACCCCAAACGGACAGATCATAGGACGTACGGAATGTGTGGCGCTCATCCTTTCCAGATATGTGTTAGGCTGCATCGATCACAAATTGGGATTCCCGGAACCCTGAGGATGTGAATGTATCCCGGGAGTTGGTTCGTCAAAGAATCCAGCAACTCCACCCACCGCCACCGAATACGAGCTATGGGCCCGCCGCGGTTTGATCGAGAACTGTGGGCGTTCCTCAAGCAGCGGAATAATGCCTGGTCCAGGTACCATGCAACAGGCGCAGGATATGAGGAATATCGATGTATTCGGAATCACTGTACTGCACTAAAAATTGCAAGAGAAAAAGATTCGAGGAACGAATAGCAGCGGATTCAGTACAAGCACCAAAGCGATTGTATGCCTACCTCAGACGAATAATCAGAGCAACGCCTGGTCTCCCGACTCTCGCCAAAGATGGGGCACTAGCCAAAAAAGATGAGGACAAAGAGGAGATGCTGGCATCACATTATGCCTCAGTGTACACCCCAGACTCAATCACACTGGCACATCTATTGAACACTGACACTGCGCTGAACTGGACTCCATTTACCATCGGAGAGGTGACCCTGGACCTGATGATGGGCATCCGCTGATCCTGAGAAAGCTG